CGTTCGTTCTCTGCGTTAACCATCAGCGCTATGGCTCAGCTTCTATTATATATATCCACGCGGCGTTTAATACACTTTCGAGTTTCGTTCGAGTAATTTCATAATCGTTTTTCAGGCGCACTGCTCTTGCACCAAAGAGTGGAGGAGGAGGAGGTGACGAGGAGGGCGAAAAGGGGAGGCTTACGCAAGTACATGTATAAAAGCGTGCCTGCAGTTGTTGCTCTCTGCATTTATACACACATACATATTTATGTATAAAAAAATCCCGCTAACGCTGCCGCTGTTGTTGTTACTCTCGAGAAAGAGCATTGTGCACCTCCGTTGATCGGCTGCTGGTGAGGATTTCTTTATCGGGACACCAATGCGCGATTGGAAAATTCCGTGACGCGAAAAGAAGGCTGATCTTCTTGGGAATTGATTTTTTTCGACGCTGCACGTACCTACGCTGGTTAATGCCGAAACCAGTGCGCTAGAGTTGGTTTGGTTGGGGATCAAAATTAGGAGTTTGAAGTTTAAAGCTCATGAATCTGTGGGTGTGTGTCCTTAACAATTAAAGAAAAAAATAATGGCGGTTTGTAGCAGACCTTCGATTCAAAGACTTTATTCGTTCTCCATACGCTTCCAGGATCATAAACATAAATAAACCAAGTACTTCATACATCAAATGGTAATTTTGAAAATAAAAAAAATTTTCATTTTAATAGACAATAAAAATTTCTACAGTCATTTTTTTTAACTTCATATTTATACACATGCACACACACACTAAGTAAAATTTTGTTTTGCTGGCAATTTTTAAACCATAATACGTGTTTTGAACACGTTTTGTTGCAAAACTTAACTTTCAAATTTTTGCCGAATAAAGTAAGTATAAAATTTGTAGTTATATGGTTACCCTTTGCTGCAAAAATTTAAAAGATAGATCATAGAAAAACAGAGGATAAAGTTGGCAAGACAAGGGGAAAAAAATAAATTGCCTGTGGTTCCAGTTTTGCGTGAAAATTCTTGGCACACGTCGTTTACGGTGCCATGAAAAAAAAAAATTGAGAATTTTTTAATCGCAAGAGCAAAAAGTTGTTGTTCAACCTACTGCTCGTGAGTTTTTGCAAACATATTTTACACATTTTATAGCGTGAGCACTAAAATTTATTTCGTTAGGGGCAAGCCCAGTGGTGTTTTCTAAGTTTGGTAAAAAGTTAAAAAAGTCCTGAACACAAAAGTGTCCTTTTGTAATTTCAATTAAAAAAAAAAAACATTTAGAGAGTAAACGATATAATTAGAAATTATGAAAGCTTTATCATTTAAAAACAAAGTTCAACGACCTAACTACCATATATCTGTAACCTTCCTTCCAATAGTAAATTTGTTAAACCTAGCCCAGCAATTTCAAAATCACTGAAAAGAAAGAAAAAAATTAATAACCACCAGCTCATACTTCCAACATCGTCCAGATCCAATCTCACCCATGCATGTATAGACAAAGACGAAGCCTCGCTTGCAATCACAACCTCGTCTTAGCTGCCCGGAAAGTATAGGAGGGGAAACAGAAAAGCGTATCATGTCGGGTGACAATAAGTCGCACTGCACACACTCGGTAGCAACGAAAGTAGGCTCGGAGAGGAAGATATCGCGAAAGGGACGTCGAAGGAAAAAGGAAGGCGGTGGAGGGGGGGGGAGGTTGCGGCTTATCGGCGCGCAATCAGGATCCCGCTTTAACGGCCTTGACTCGATCCAACAACACACCGTACTCAGCAGCGGAGGCCTGTGCCAGCGGGCCCGCGTTTTACATCGTTGCAACGTGCACGTATATTTATATACGTGCAAACGCTTTTACTCTCTCGCTGCGATTTTCACTTACCGTGTACGCACCCCTCCCCCCCCCTTGTACATCCATCCTCCTTTTATTAATTTTACGCACACTCGGGAGAATTTTTCATTCTGCTCCGAGCTTATCGTGCGCTCGTCAATACATCCTTTGGTACTTTTTTTTCCGGAAGATACATTTTCGAGATCTCACCCGAGGATAATGATATCGATCACTGCACGTACAATGCGACACGCGCGTGGAAGCCAATTTCTCTTTCGAGCGAGAGAAAAGCGATAGTTTGACGTGTGTACTAATATATACGTGGGTATAAGAGCCCAGACCGTAGACGACGGTTTTCCCTCCGATGTGTGTAGATCCCCTTGCTCTACTCGGCTAGGCGATTTCGCGGTGTTTCTGCACACTTTTGGATGAAAATACATGATCGTCCTGTGCAAGGATTGGAAGAGCTTTTTTTTTCGAATTTCTTTGATGATTATTATTATTTATTGAGAAAATTTCTCTAACTGCACGCAACAACAATCAACAACTAAAAAAACATTGACATCTCTTGATAACTCTATTTTTCTCGTAAGCTAAATTCTTTGTTTTTTTTTTTTTCCATTTTACGTACATTCAATTTCGATAAAAAAGAAGAAAAAAAAAATTGTTCGCTTCGTTATTGTATTTATTTGTGCATGTCGTGGAAGTGCAATAAATCTTGTAACCTGAAAAACAATGGATAATAAAGGAACAAACAAAGCAGCATTACCAATCTTTTAGTTTTTAATCATCATTTACACGTGTCATCAATACTTACACATTCATCGATCAATTATTCTTCGCATCGTACGCATGAAAAGTAAAAAAATGAATGAAAAGCCATCACTTTGTACGCTCCTAACTAAGATGTGAAATGATTGACGTTTGGGTGTTTTGGATACGAGGAAGAGAGAAAAAAAAATGTATATCCTAACGCACTCGTTATCTTCCGACTACGGATTCTCGGCGCGCGGAGAGGCAGTCCAATTAATAATCGCTCGATCTCTTCTCTCTTTCTCCTCTCCACACGCGGCTTACGATTATACTTAATCTCGCAACCCGCGTCGTTTTACAATAAGACACACCGACAGATGATACGGCAGCGAGCCCAAGAGAAACTTTGTTTTTTCAAAGTGTAAATCGTTGCCTCTGTTGTTGTCGCGACTCAATTTTTTATTCATTTTTTTTTTTTTTTTTTTTTTTTTTTTNTTAGATTGTTCACGCAAACCAACAGGAAAACCTCGAGGAAAACCGCACAAACCAACACGCGTTGAAACAACAAAACGCGGAGAGGGTGGATTAAAAAAAAAAAAAAAAAAAAAAACTAAGAGCCATATACGCGATTGGACTTTTATTTTTTCTTTGGCTTCTTTAGCGCGACCTTTTGATTCATTTTGTGTGTGTGTGTGTTGCGCCTCGCGCGCGCCATGACCCAACAATCGTACATAATATACATGACGCGCGCATGCCGTCGCCGTCGTGTGCTCTGCTAACACACTTTTTTCCCCCTCAATGAAAATGACGACGATGCCTGCAGTGATGAGGCCCCAAAACGAAGAGACGCGTTGCACTTGCACATACCTTACACGCAATCGGTGAAAAATAAAGCATCGATTTATCGCGTACCCATTGGTCGGATTATCCAAAACTATGATCCACTGGCACATTGGAAAATAAAAAAAAAAACTAGACTTTTCCACCCGCATTTTCCGCATAATATATAAATCACAGGGGTGTAACAATAATTTGTATAAATAACCGATCTAGTAATAGCGCTTGCAATTACGGAGAGGACAGAAAAAAAGAAACAAAGCCGATATCCTCGCCGGCCAGACGGCCAATTAACTTATTTACTCGCTCGATATAGGTTCTCCAAAGCTCTCTTTTATGTCACACTCGATGTCGCATTGATGTGTGTGCATAATACTCCGTACGCGCGTGTTGTGCGGTGTCCCGTTCTTATTCTCCTCCTTCTCGGCAATCGCTGGTGAAAGTTAACGAAGATTTTCCTATCGCTCGCTCGCGCTCCTCCACCAAGCGCGAGTACTATCTCTCGCGCCTGCCTCTGTGCTCGCCTCTGTGCCGATGCTTTTTTCGTGGATGCTTAACCCATTCGCAGATAAGGAGCTCGTCTGAATTACATTTATTTCTCTGCATCCCAAAAGGCAAATCGGGCATTTTTTTTTTTTTCTCGTTTTATCGCGACACTCTCGGCAGTTTCAATAAAAATTAACACGAGCCTCTTTTCGTTGAGTAGCGAAGGCCGACGTTCACATGCAAGTGCCCGCATTGCGCGAATCTGTTTTTTTTTTTTTTTTTTTTTTTTTTTTTTTTTTTTCTTCAACTCTACTCAACTTGCGTCACACCAAGGGGATAATAAAGAAAAGCCTTCCAGGAGCACAAACGCAGTTGTTCTTTTTTTTTTCTCTCAAGTTTCCAAGCTTTTTGGTAAGCCTATACACACAAATTATACATACGCCAACGCGGTGAATTGCCATCTGCGAGTCGTGTATTTTTAATGATTGACGCGCGAGGTGTGTTGTTATCGAGGAGAGCCCGTGTACATTAATTGTTTTCTTTTTCCGTCAGCGACGACGATAAGATTAGCGCGAGAGCAAATTTCCATCGCTCTCTTGCGCAACTCTGAAGTTGCCATTTTTTTTTTTTTTTTTTTTCTCTCGTTAAATTACAACTTTTTGAGGTACTCCCTTCCCCGAAGTTCATCATCGCCAAAGCCAAATAATAAAAGATACAGCCCCGTCCCTGTACACGTGAAACAACAACCACTTGGGTATGATGAAAATCGATGAAAATAGTGGTACAGTTCTTTGGGAAAAATCCAGCATGTAAAATAGGTCGGGGCGCTTGGCTATATATACGTATACTATCACGACCTAAGACGCACATCACACTACACTTCAAAGAGACAGCGTAGATGTAAGAGAAAAAAATGTGTCGCTACCACTGCTGTACGTACACTTGATTAGAGTCGCCGAGAAATATCTCCCTCGAGTCACTGTACTCAAACGTTTGCTCGCGTTTGCAGGCTGTGTTTTTATAAATTTATTGGTGAAACCAAGTACCGAGGAGTTGCATAAAGTAAGAAACAGAGTGGCGATTGATAAAGCAATCAAGCGTATTTTCTGGATTTCAGGTACCCCTTGGCACACTCGCACGGCAACCAAAAGACTGAGCGCGACACGGCACCAACGTATCCTCCGTTGTTGGAAACAAAAAGACCGTCAAGGCTTCCTCTTTCTCCGCGTTCGTCTCTCCGTCTGATCGAGAGCAGTGGCGGTTTCCCGGGCGCCGGACTACCCAAGTGAATGGGAGGACGACGAGGAGGGCCGTGTTTGATGGTAACTGCAGCGAGTTTCGGCTTGGTTAATGTGCGCGAGGAAAAAGTCAGCTGCCACCACCGCCGCTGGACATTGGTCGTTGCGGCTACATCGTCGTGAAATCGTGGAGGACGGGGTTTTCGTTGCAACAACACCGGGAGGAAGTTGATTTTGAAAGGACGAGCGAGAAAGGTGGTGGAGGGGACCCGAGGACAAAATGCCGCCCTCCGGTGGTGGTGGAGGTGGCTACTATGACGACAGGAATCCACTACTCAAGGGCACGCTATCCAGGTGAGTTGCTTTATTTTCTTTTTTCCTATTCTCTCTCTGTTTTTGTAGACTCTCTCTTTCTCTCAAACGTATAAGTATAATATCCTCCTCGTATAGTCAATGTCGTTTTTTCCTTCCGTTTTTTTTTTGTTTCCTTTACGAGCAGATCTTGTCTTTTGTCTAAACGCGTGTGGTGCTGCGAGGTTGCTGAATTTGTCTTTTTTTTTTTTTTTTTTTTTTCCCCAAGAGACTTTACAATGCTGTGCAATTGTTGAGGTTTTCACGCAAGCAACGGCACAGTATCGATGTCTTCACGAACAGAGTGTATTGTTATATTATATCTCGGTATTGAGTTTGTGTCGTAATATTACCAGGAGATATTACCAGTTGTTGCGTATTATAAAATCACTATACTACAACAGCTGTAATATATGTATAGGTACACAACGTTTACAGTAATCGGATTCTATTGCACCGATGGTTTTTCAGAACAATTTTGATTTACATTTTCTTTTTTGGATAACAAAATAATCTAAATTGCAAATTTGATCTTAGTAGTATACATGATAATTAATTACAGGCGAAGGTGAATAACAATATAAATTATCTGGAATAAAAAATGCATTCACGTATTTTAATCGATGTTGCTTAATAAGTATTAAAATTCTGAAACGTACATATATATATATAATTATGTGCTCGGGAAAAAACAGGTGAGAACGTAATGCAATAAAATATATAATATGTAATACTTAATCGAGCGAACAAACAACGCTCCTCTTCCGAGCGCATTTATCAAAAAGTAAACCCATAACTCTTCGCAATGACATTCCTCAAGTGTTGGCTTTGTGGTGACATAACAGGCTCACCTGATATCGAGATGCATCCCTAGTAACACACGTATACGATTGTCCGCAATGAGATGATCATTAATTAACGAACTTGATGCATATTGAAACGCTGTTAATTAAATTGATTACATGTATAAATATCCGACACGCAGCAGAACATATTATTATAATGTATAGCGCATCGTTAAAAATGTAATAGAGGAGCTAAAGTAGCGGGTGCGGAAATGCTTTTGTTACGGCCGCATTGCAATGGGGTGTGGTCATCACCATCATCGGATCAATAATATATTATAACGTTCGTCTCCTTTTGACGACGCGACGCACACAAGGTGGAAAAAAGGAGAGAAAAAACAACGCACGCGCGCGATTGCGCAACCGATCCGATCGCGCGCGAGGAGGGAAAGGGGAAAGAATAAAAAAACAGCTCCGCTTCTTTTCGTTCCTTGGGGAGTGGGCACTTGCTCGTTTTAATTACATAAAGGAGAAAATATATACTTTTAAAGAGACACGTCTACGTAGCGCCACGCACGTGTGTCGGTGTACATGTCTACCGATCGAGAGCCGGTGTGAGATTTTAGAAATCAGCCGCACTGCGAGCAAAGCGCCTATATGGGTCATTTCGCGTGAAAGGCTATTTTACGTGAATCCTGCAGTGTTTAAAAACGAAACACTTGTATTTGCGTCGCTGTAAGATGCCGAAATGTCATTACCGTAATGCGAAGCATTTCTTAATTTTGTTTTTCGGGCTTATTGGGTAGGTTCCTGTGCATTGACTATGTCATGATTTTTCAACACCTCCCCATCCGAGGTGTCAAGCACCATTTCTTGTAACTTGAAACAATAACAAGACGACTTTCTACCCTTTTGAATTCCCTTGGATAAATGATTTCATTTGTCCTATGGTAATAATATTTTTTTAACAATTGGAATTAATTGTTTTTTTTATATTTTTTTGGAGCGAACGAGTACACCGTACACCGTACGTGCAGCCCCGTATTCTCATGTAGCTGTAGTCGCCTCGGTAGTCGCAGTGTTTTCGCGAGCATGGAGCGTTGGTCCCGGTAAAGAAAGCGGTAATTAGGGTAATCTACCTAGTCTCGGTGGTTTTTCAAACTGTCGACTAAGCGACCATAAGCACCAAACTAAATTACATTGCGAAAACATTACATTGGGGCCTCAGAAGTGCAAAAAAATTTACCATTACGGTAATGACAAACGTGTCATTGTAATGCTTTTATGTCGTTTTTCAAAAATCCCATTTGAATCAACCACGAATTGTCAAAAAAAAAAAAAAAAATAACAGCGGCCCAAATATTTCCAGTTAGTTTGGACCTTGTATAATGTAAAAAAAAATGTAAACCCTATAAATCAAAAGTCTCGTTTTACGTCTGAAACGTAGCAGTTTTCGTGAAATGATCCATGTATTACATTATACAGTGCAACCGACGACGTTGTTGCTCGAGTTCGCGTGAGCGCGAGAGAGTTGTGTAACGATATTTTTAGCGCCGAGTGTGTTATTTTAAAACGAGAAGACGAACACACTGTTGCTTTGGGCAAAGAGAGGACCGCAGGGACATTTAAACGCGTCTATACGTGTACAATGCGTTCAAATTCCCTCGCGAATTCCTCGATCAAAAGAAGATGACAAAATTTGCCAATCTGGAACGACAAACTAACGATGTTGGCTCACCTTTTGCTCGGTGATTTTTACCGTTTGCTCGATAAAGTTTTCGAAGGTACGCAGTATTATCGTTGTTTACAGTACGAGAGCCCAATTTCCCCGTAAAGAGACGAAGAAAGAAAGAAAGGCCCGTACATGCGTGCACAAAGAAATGTCGGTCGCCCGAAAAAGGAGTAAAAAGGAAAAGCGTCGCGGTCGGTGAAAAAATTGTACAAAACACAAAGGACCGTATTTATATGGAAAACTGGGGGCCAGAGGTGGTAGGGGGAAAACGCGTACCTCGAAAAATGTATTAAATGCGTCACGTATGGTCCTTTGCGCGAACTGACCATTGTTTTTCTTCTGCACTGCTGTTTGCTATACTCTCTCCCGCGAAGGGCATTGCACGCCCGCGCTCTTTAAAAGCTTTCTCTCCTCGTCGTAGCTTTCGCAGCGTAGCGTTATTTTGGACATGGTTTGTTTTCTGTGCCTATTTTTTTTTTTTTTTTTTTATTCAGCTGGTACAATGCATCTAATCGATGGTAGCGCGTGCCTTTGGAGATACAGATCAGACTTTTTTTCGTGAAAAAAAAAAAAGAAGAAAAAATGGGGCCCATACGCGTTATCGCGTAACTGACATGCCGCATTGAATAACTAACCTGTTCTCTCCTCTGCTTGAAAAATAGGAAAATAAATTATTGAGAGAATCGCTAGTCACGATAACAATAAATTCGTCAACAATACTCGATGTGGGTATTTTATTTTTCACAGCAGCGCTGGAAAAATTTACGATACACGCGAGGGCACTGAAATCCATATTTTACAAAGTCGAATCGAATGTTGTCATGTTGGATAATTGCATCATGTTTCCATTCGGGGTATCCAAATTCGCAGTGACCCAATTTCAATCGTATCCCTTTGGAAAAACAAAAAACAATTAATTGAAGTCCGGCATCATCATTACCTCCCGGCGCTCACCCCATTAAACTCACAGAGCACCTTCTCTCTCTGCTATTTTAAATCAAAGTTCAAAGCACGAACGAGACATACCTCGACCGAAAGTCCATTGTATCTCTCTATTAATAAAACGAATGAATCCTAAAATACTCGAGATGCATCTCTTTTCGCGCCCCCCATTTGTTCGTGGTCGTCCCAACTGCGGGCTATAAATAATAATTCAAAACAACAAAATTCCCCTTAAAATCACCGCTTTGCGTGGCGCATAAACCTTGCAAAAGTAACGATAAACACGCGAAAGCAACTCATCCAGAGAAAGAGAGAGATGCGCTAAAACCACCGTGGGCTATCGCGACACCTAGAAGCCGACAGTTTGCACGGTATCAGCGGCACACGTGCAAAGGCGGTGTGTCATTTTATATACCCATATATATGCGCGCGAGAGCTTCTCTTCTTCGCGTTAAAAGAGTGAAAATCAGTAATGCGCGAGCCGCGCGTGGAATTTCCCTCTCGCCTTGTTGAGCGGATTTTTCGGATTTTCTCCCTTCCCCTCTTCTTCTTGGGGGTCGAGGTGGTGAGATTTCCAACGGCGGACATATAGAAGCACGAAAAGGGGCCAACGATCCGGTGATTCACGCTGCGTATTTGCGTTATCTTCACGTATATACCCACACACACGTATTGCACGTATTTATAATATATAATTATGTGCTCGGGAAAAAACAGGTGAGAACGTAATGCAATAAAATATATAATATGTAATACTTAATCGAGCGAACAAACAACGCTCCTCTTCCGAGCGCATTTATCAAAAAGTAAACCCATAACTCTTCGCAATGACATTCCTCAAGTGTNTATATATATATATACGCCCATTCGTCTCTTTGACCGATTACCGCGCATTAGAAGGAATTTATTGTGTGTATCGCGCAAGTTATTCTCACGTATATATGCAACAGCGGTGGCTGAAACGTGAAGTGACGTAAGGTCGACCGGCTGATTGCCACAACGTACAATGCATGGGTATACATGTCATAAAAATGTTTCTCTTTGTGTATGGTTTTTTTTTTTTCGTGCCCGATAAGAAGAGAGTAATTTTATTCTTGGATTTTCCAAAACTATATAATCGACAGCTCGGAGTCTGAGAGAGAGCTATTTAGAGGTCGGGCGCTCGGGTGGGTTCTCCTTCTCGAGAGTAGCTTTCCAAGGTGAGCCGGGATACCCGTCCGATGAATCACGCGAAAGAGTCGCGCGCACCGTTTCGACGGCTCCGGCTCTTATTGGTTGCACGGAATATATTTTTCATGAACAAACAGCAACAATGTATAACACTCCCTGGGTGTTGTTCATTACCACCATCGTCATTTCGAGCGCAACTGGTGTCGATTGGATTCTCCGCGCTGTTTGCCGATCGTGACCTGTAAAACTATTTTGATAACGCGCACGCGCGGCTGCACACACGTTTCGCTTGCGACTCTTTGTTTATTTTATTTTATTTTTTTATCTCTCCTCTGCTATCAAACTTGAACCTACTTTCCATTCTTGTACACTTT